GTTGCCGGACACGAAAAAAAACAAAAAAAAAAAAAAAAAAAAAAAAAAAAAGAACAGGTGTATATTGCCCACAACCATCCAGGTGGGCGGGGCATGCATCAGCCCCACCCACTCAGCCTTGAGGGACTGAACAGCGCCCACTCAAATTTTGGGGATTCCCAATCCTTGGTGGTGGGGGGGGAGACTTGGGTTTTTCCCTCCCCTTTTCAGACCAGCACTGTCACCCTTCATCCCTCACCATTCTCGCTGACACTACTGCAGGCCCACGTCTTGGTGTTGTTGGTCCACGTGCAGTCATACCAGAGATTCAGAGACTCCTTCCCGGGGAGAGTCCACCAGGACTGGGATTGACAGTAACCGGCAGTTAGAAAGGTGGGCGTGGACAGAGTGACTTTAGAGGAGGGACACGGCCAGAGTCCGCAAAAGAGCGGGATCCCCCTACCCTTTCCCTCCGTCCTTCCCATGCTCCAAGTAGGTTTACCTTGTCCAAAGTGGCCACGAAAAGCAGGATGAGAATGAGGATGTGAAGGGCAGAGACTATCAGCAGGAGGAGCGACATGACTGTGGCGGACGCCTGGGGAAGGGGTGGTCAAGAGACGGAGTCTCAAGAGGTTGGCACAGAGGCTGGAGAGATACCCGAATCCTGAGGGAGGAGGGGGCTGGGACCTGGACTTCTGGGTCTGAGGCAGGAGATGGCTGGGGACCTGGACTCTTGGGTCACTCATGGAAGAGGAGGCTGGGTGTGGGCCCTTGCATTCCACAGGGGCTGGAGAGGGCCAGACATAGACTCTTGGTGTCCTGGAATAAGTAGAACTAGCAATATGGCCCATCTTCTCAGAGCCCTGTCTCTGGGCACATATAGGCCAGTATATGAAAATTCAAGATGACACCCTCCCCATCCCCAGATTTTTCAGGAGCTAGGAGCTGCCCCCAGCGACAGGCATCCTTGACTCACACCACTCCTCTCCTGGGGTGGGGGGAGGGGGGTCAGAGTGAGTCATCTGGTGACTCATCCTACACCCCTGCCTTTAAGTACCAGGGAAACCCCAGCCCCTGGCTATGTCCATGAGGTTCTCACCCCACCCTGCTGCCAGACTGGTGCCTGCTAGACACCTTCTGGGGAAAGTGGATGAGATCTGTGTAGGGGGAGACAGGCCTGAGAAGAAGCCAACACCCTTCAGTGTCTAGAAACAAGGGACCTGGAGGTTCCCCAGACTTGGGGTATTCTCACGCAAAGTCTTGATCTCAGGGCCCTCAGGGGAGAGTGGACACCCCTGGGGAAAAACTGCAGGAAGTTTTTCGGTGGGACAGCTCTCCTGAGACCCCTAAAACCTTGCCAGGCCCCACCCCTTCCCATTTCTCAACTCCAAGTGCTAAGAGGCCACTTCTTAAGGTATAAGGATTTTCATGGGGGCCGAGAGTGGGAGTCTCTCCCAGCCTGGGGTGTCCTTCTCAAACTGCTGCACTCCTAAGTAAATAAAGAAATCCCAGCCGGAATAACGGACTGGAAACTTACCGAGAGCTGCGGAAAAAGTCAGTCTGGGTCTGTTCCCTCGCTTGGGCCTCCGTGCCCCGCCCTTCTCCTCCCTCCTTTCACCCTCCCGAGGCCCCCGCCTCCCTCGCTGCCTTCCTCCCTTGCTCTCCCCTAGGGCTCTCTCCCTCCTTCTCCCCTACAATCCTTTCTCTCTCACTCTCTCTCCCCCCTACCCTCAGTGCCTAGGCTTCCTTCTCGCTTCTGTTTCTCTCTCTCTGTTGCTCTCAATATATACCGACCCTTTTATACCCTCCCTCACCGCACCCAGCTGAGGTCTGCAGCCAGTGGGAGGGTCCAGGCCCTTGGGTTCCTCATTCTCTGGGCCCCCACCCAATGTTCCCAGGCAGGCATCATCTGGGGCTCCCTCCCAGGATTGAGAAGTCCTCTGAGCGGGAACCCTGGGGTGGGACAAGCATCAGGGGTGTGAGGGCTATGTTTTCAGGACTTCAGGTCTCCAAGTCTTGTCTTGGGACTGGATGTCTGCTTTCCTTTGTGGAGCTTAGAGCTGGATCCTGGGAAGGATAGGAGTGCTGGGGAGGAGGTCAGATTCCTGTGGGAAGGATTGTGCTTGAGGCTGGTGGAGTTGGCCCCATGGTGGAGTCAGGGGATTGGAGATGAAAAGTGTGAAACTCTGGGAGGGGGCAGGAAGTGGAAGTTAAGAATTCCAGAGCCATCATTTCTTTCTTTTTTTTTTTAGTAAAAGATGATGTGTAGGGGCCTGCCCGTGGCTCACTCGGGAGAGTGCAGTGCTGATAACACCAAGGCCGCGGGTTCGGATCCCATATAGGGATGGCTGGTTAGCTCACTGGGTGAGCGTGGTGCTGACAACACCAAGTCAAGGGTTAAGATCCCCTTACGGGTCATCTTTTAAAAAAAAAAAAAAAAAAAAAAGGGTTAAG